CTATGTGTTTATAGTTAGAGGGTTTAGATTACTGCAGTCTGCCATCTTGCCCAGATCAAAAGTTCTTATTTCTCTTCTCTTCTTCCTATTGCACTACAATAGAAGTGAATGGGTAAAGGGAACTTATGTTGTTACAAAAGAAAAACCTTCAGTTATAGCTGCTGGTCTCCTGTTTTCATTCATCCATTCATCACATACAGTTGATCCTCACTCACAGATTCTGTAATACAATCTGCTTACTGAATTGCATATACGTTATATATATAAATTTTCTGTATGTTATGATGTTTTAACATCTTGAAGAACCTTTCTGGTTAGGGAAAGACAGTCCTTCCTGAGTTTAGCAAATTCTTAGAGAGAGAAAAGGCCCAGCCAGGAACATGTCTTTGATGTGCAAACCAACCAGTTGAGGCCAGACTTCCTCTATCTGGCCCTTGCACCCCAAGAAGCCATATTCTTCTGCCTTAATCATCCCAGGGCCAGGTGCCAGACAACTAGGGACCACCCCTATTAGCCCAAAGACAGCTGAAATTATTTAAACTAGCCAGTCCTAAGCTCTTTACCATGCCCTGCCTTGCCATTGCTGCAGAAATCTCAGGAAAGGCCATGACGTGAACACCCCCTTGCTCCTGTCTCTGCCTCCTCACCACCCTGGTGCTTCCCCCACATGACCTTGTATGGTGGGCGTGCCTCCTGTCTCTAGCACCTGTGAATATAATGAACTTTGTTTTTCCTGAGCCCCTACTCTGTCTCCTCTTGTGACCACATCTGACTGACCATCTCACAAAAGAATACAAAACACTTACTTCTTACAATTTATCTATAACTCCAAAATTAATACCTGCAACACTTTCATGGTCATTCAGGGACATGCACCTTTGTAGAGTTGTGAAAATTTAAATCACCCAACATACATGTTCCCAACTAAGGTTGAACAAAGCAATGTTCTGCCTTATGATTTCAGCTCAAACTGTAGAAAGTCTTTTTGGCAGTTATTTATTGCCATGTTTTCTGCATATTTGTGCTTTTTGTTGTGCTTTTCACTGTTTAAAGTGGCCCCTATGCATAGTGCTAAAGTGCTGTCTACTGTTTCTAAGTGCAAGAAGGCTGTGATGTGCCTTATGGATAAAATATGTGTCTTAGATCAAATTTATTCAAGTATGCATTATAGAATGGTTACCTGTGAGTTCAACATTAATTAATCAATGATATATATTACATAAGTGTCTTTAAACATAAATATACATAAAACAAGGTTCTGCATTGATCAATTGATGAAAATATAATCAGAGGGTAGCAAGGAACCTAATTCCTAGGCACAACCATGCAATATTTGCTAATTCACTGTTCATGGCAATTTCACAGGCCACATTATCTTAAATAAGGAGAATCAACTTTATTTGTTGAGTCTCTACAAATGTTCAGCCACTGTGTTAGTTGTACCTGTCCCTGAGGATTCGGTGGTGGATAAATCTCAGTTTTAAGCTTCTTGCAAACAAATAGGCAAGTGCAGGAATGGACCACAGCCAGCTTCAAAACTTAAGCTTGCCAAGAAACATTAAAATTCACCACAGATAGGAAATGCTGGTTTTATTTCTTTTTTCCTTTTTGCATTTATCTTCAGATAGAGTGGGAGGGAGACAGGGAGGAAGAGAGAGAGAGAAACATTGATGTGAGAGAGACACATCAACTGGTTGCCACCCACACAACCCTAACCGGAGCTGGGGACAAACTGCAAGCGAGGTAATTGCCCTTAGCGGGAACCGAACCTGGGTCTTGCCAGTCCACAGACCGATGCTCTAACCACTGAGCAAAAACAGCCAGGACTGGTTTTATTTCTTATTGATTGGACATTGTACCCTGTTTGGAGCAGTGGCTAGAAAGGAAGCAGTGGCAAAGGTGAGTTTATTGCACATAGAAGAATAGTGGCCAGCTTGGCCACCATTATTCCTGACTTTATGTCTCTATGGAGAATTGTGGAAGAACTCACAAATCTGGACTTCTGTCTAGGAGTACACTGGCCAGTCTATTGCTTTGTGTAGAAGTTCTGAAGAGTTTCCACTTCCTTTGTCACTAGAGGAAACTTATATCCTCTAAGTAAATCTCTTGGTATTGATCATTTTATCTACACATCAAGTCAATAGAGCACTGTGGTTGGGCCCAAATTCGGGAAGGTGGCAGTCAGACAGTGTTGCAGGACTATTCAAGACGGTGCATGTCCTCCCCTTCTCTGCAGAGAGACAGAGAGCTTTTGATTCTATTCCATGTGGCCCTGATGGAGACAGCTACATCTTGCCTATGGTCCCCAGGAGTTTTGCTCTATGAATCAATCAGCCACTGAAAGTCTATTAGAGAGGATCATAAAGAGTCCAATGAGTCACCCGTGCACCTGGACATGGAGACAGGCCGGAACTTTTCCCACCTGTTTCCATGGCTGCTGGTTTTCAGGTGGAGGCAAAGTCCAATGAAGACAATTGCTAATTGGTCCATGGAGGAAGTGTTGGAAAGCCTGTAACAGAAAAGACTGCAGTGTCATTAAATCGATCCTGCCTGTTAGAAGAAACATGAGTCAAAACAAGGGTCTTGCCTACTCAACAAACTAGAACAATTTCCCCAGATTAAATGTGGGCTCTGGCCCTGGCCGGTTTTGCTCAGTGGTTAGAGCATCGGCCTGAGGACCAAAGAGTTGCAGGCTCAATTCCAGTAAAGTGCATGTACCTCAGTTGCAGCTCAATCCCTGGACCTGGTCAAGGTCATGTGGGAGGCAACCAATTGATGTGTCTCTCATACATAGATGTTTATCTCTCTCTGTCTCTCTCTCTCTCCCTCCCACTCTATCTGAAGATAAATGGAAAAATATCCTCAGGTGAGGATTTAAAAAAAAATAAAGTGGGTTCTGTTCATTTTTTGTGAGATGCAGTAAGAACAGTGCTTAGAGGGGGAAATATAGCATTGAATCCTTATATTATAAAATAATAGAGGAAAGAGTGAAAATGAATAGTCAATCCACACCTCAGAAATACAGAGGACTGTAAGAAAATACTATGGACAACTATATGCCAATATGTACAATCTGGACAAAATATATAAATTTTTAGAAACACATAATCTTCCAAAACTGACTTAAGAAGAATCAGAAAATCTGAATAGACGGATTACAACTAATGAAATTGAAGCAGTAATAAAAAAAAATGCAACAAACAAAAGTCATGGACCAGATGGCTTCATAGGTGAATTTTACCAAACATTGAGAAAATAAATGATGCTTTTATGTATAAGTGCTTCAAGCACTTTGGAGAAATGAGTTTTATAAATATAAGCCATCCTATTCATCTACAAAGCCAATCAATGTTTTCTTCTCATCCTGGCCCTCCGCATACTCTCTACAGAGCATTTACATCCCTAAACAACCTTCCGATGCTGAATTCACAGGAAGAGACCAATGGCTCACAAGGCCAGAGAAAATGCAAGCAGAGCAGAATGCCACACACACACATCAGCGGCTGGGAGAAAAATCACCCTTTATTGGAAACAACACCCTGGTGGTTTTTGTTCACTAATCATGCTTTTTCTGTCCAAGACTCTGTCTAATCCTCCATTAGATGGAGCCAGAAGGAGTTTCAAGTTGCAAAGCAAACAGACGTACATTTAGGACGACATTTTTAACCACTGCCCAGGCCTGCGAGGATCACATGGGGCACCCTGCCTATTCATTCGCAGGAGCTCCTGGAAGCACTGGCCAATCGCAAGGCCAACCCAAGATGGTCTAGTGGGAACACATGGGTCCATCTGTCTGGAGGAAGAGGCAGTGGACACAGAGAACAGCCACCAGCCACCAACACCAAGATGTTGTTTAGTCCCAGGAGCTTTGGCCTGAGGTAGGGAAGTCTTTAGGAAGTTGAGAGGAGACAGTGCCGATTGGCAAGAAAAGAAGCCAATGTTTATTCTCTTTCTAAGTCCCTGCTTTAGAAATAAAATCCAAAGCTTCTAACTGGCATTCAGTAGATCCCAGGATGAACCTGCCTCCCAACCCCCACTGCCCACCTATCTCTCATCCACCTTCTTGCCCACCAGTCTCTCTTGTCATTGGTTCTCTCTGTCTGAACCTCAAGCTCGCCTACCCCTGGCACGCATCACCTGTCTTGAATCTCCAGGAGAGGGATGGTCCCTCTGTGCTGCGGTGTTTGACACACTGAAAGTAGGCTCTGTTTTTGCATATCTTTCCAAACTGTGAATGTCCTATAAGAACGGGGACTGCAACTTACTCCTTGAATGTGTGAGGGCCCTGGAAATACTGAGCACTCAGCTGGTCCCCCACCCCCCACAAACACCGGATGAATGGATGAACAAATGGGTAAAATTAAGTGCTTTCCCACCAAAAGCTCTAGGTACACTGTGCCTGCTCCTTCATGTTCCCTTTGATAACACAAATATAGAGAGTTTTGTGAGACAATGTTGCAGGTCAAAACCCACAAGAATTACAAGACAACAGGTGAACTTCAAGTCGCCTTCTCTATTTTCAAAGCAGGTCCTGGCTCTAGATTTCCAAAAGGTGGGTTAAGGCGATGAGGATGTAGAAAGGCTGAAATTCGTAAGACCTAAGATCAGTAATAAAACTCTTCAAAGAAACTGCTTCTCAGTTTAACAGTGTTTTTTTCTTTTCATTAATGAAGCAAGTTGCTAGGGCAGGAGGAAGAGTGAGAGGTGGGGAGGGTTGGGAGGGAAGGCAGGTAGGAGGGGTCAAGGATACAGAGTGCCTGCTGTCTCCATGACGTGGACAGCTGCTTCTGGTTGTATTTTAAACAAAATCGCATCCCAGTGTAGAAACCACGTCTGGAATTACAACCACCCTGTGATCTGTCACTTTTACATACACACACGAGGGACTGGAGCGGTCTCCATAGAGAAGAAACAATACAAGAAAAAGAGCCGGTGACCCCAGCAGAAACAGAAGTTCAGGGGGATGTTCCCAGGGCAGACTCCCTGGTCCTGAAGCTGCAACCACCTCACTGAGCATCTCCACTCCGGAGGGAAGTCCACTGTTGGGTAAGATTTTGGATAGAGACTTCTTTATAAAAGATAAATTTATTTGCCCTAAATTAGGCAGGAGGTGCTGGGGACTGGACAGGGGAGAGACATGGGAGTTGAAAGACGGTGCTGAACACCATGGTGTTTTAAATAAAGAGAAATAGCTCCAAAGAGACTATGGGGAAGTTTCTAAGGGAGCAAAATAATACTCTTTTTGTTGATATAAAGACACCTGCTTTGCAAAAGGTAATAGAATGGGTTCATACAAATCTATTTTTCTGAACAGAATTCAGTTGTGAACATGAAAAGTGGCCCTCAGTAATATTTACAAATGGGGATGGGAGACAGAAACTACAGGATTTTCCCTACCTCCTGCAGGAGCGGTAGGGTGGTTGCAATTACTGCTTATCCTGTGCCATCGCCTCTGTCATCTTTCCTTCTCTCAATACACCTGTGAGGGAGGTACTGTCTCCTTTTTAGAATCTGGGCTAAGAGGTTAAGTAATTTACCCAAGATAATCAGCAGGGTATGGGAAGTTTCAAACCCAGGCTCTCTGCCCTCAAAGCCTGGAGTCCTTTACCCCTTGCTACACGGGGGACTTTGGAGGAAGGGGACAGATTATCTGCAATGACTAGGTGCTAGGGGAGAAATCATAAAGATGGATGTTTGATGTCTCCATTTGATACCCAAGTTTTCTGAGAAAGCCTGTTTGCAATTATCTCCTCAAACATAGCAAACACACACACACCGCACACACTTACATACACACAGGGCAGTAATAAAAATTCTGGCAACAGTCAGCTATCTGTAACATGTCAAGTTTCTTCTGGCTGTTCCTCCCTCTTTGGAGGAAGAGCCTTTCATGTATAAACCCTCACTGATCACTTTAAGAGTGAATTGCTTAGAGGTGTGTGTGTGAGTGTGAGAGTGTGTGTGTGACACAAACACTTTCACATGTCTACATAAAGAAATCAGCTCACTCCTACACTCACTACAATTCCTTGTGAAATGCTTAAAGCTTCCCTACATTCTGCAGCCACTGTTTTCTAACATGTTTTTAAATTCTTCATTTTTTAAATTCAATTTTGCCAGTGTTTGCAGACAAAGTAGGTAAATGGGGAATAACTCTGTCTTCCTGCCCACCCGTACCCCACTGGAAAATGGAGCTAGCAGGGGGCAAAAGCTTTGGAATCCGAGCATTGCCTTCCAGCTTTATCACCCCAAAGTCTTTCCCTACAAATACACTTTCCTTCAGAGGTGCTCTGAATTTCAGGCTGACCCAGGTTCCTAGGACTGGACTCCATCCCAGCTCTCAGAAGTAAATGTGTAACTTTAAATCACCAGGAGAAGGTACTGCTGTAACAACCCTAAAGAATGGTTGTTTCAGATATACAAATGGGAAAAATATAGATCTAGAGCTTTACTCCTTAAATCTAACTAGATGGGACTCACTTATTGTCATAGCAGGTAGCAGGAAATGTAGACATTTGTGGTGTTTTGCCAGAGGTGATAGCAAAAGCACCCAAAGAATGGAAGAGGAGAAACTTGCTTAGGAATTAGACTTTGGTATGGAGCAAAAGATGGCTTTTCAGTATGGAGAGTTTCTTTTCCTTTACCCTGCAAACACTAAACAAAGGCAAATGAAAGAGAAGGGGGAGGAGATAGAGAGAGAATCTGTAACTCAGTCCCCTGAGAATTATTTGCATTTCTACCAAATTTCCAGATGATGATGCTAATCTGGAAAACCTTTGTTGTAGAGCATGGACAAAGCCCCACAGGATTTTAACCCATGTCCTTCTGATCCTTGAGCCCTTCTCACGCCTCTTCCCACTTCCCTCGTTTCTACCACAGGGAGAGATGCTCGTGCCAGCCCATTTTCTGCTGCTGCTGCTCGTAGGGGCCCCCAGGATGGGTCTGTCCCATAAGTTCTCCAAAGCCGAGTCCATCTTCTGCTGCATCAACACAGCCCTGTCTGAGGCCAGGAAGAGCCCATTGGAGGATGCACCCCTGCTGAGCAAGAGAGGCTTCCCCTACTTGCCCAGCCAGGCCCCATCCTCAGGCGAGGATAAGGAGAGGGAGGAGGAGGAAGAGAATAAGAAGAAAAGGACCTTCTCTGGCCCCAGGGGTGTTGGTGGAGCTGGAAGCCCCCAGTACAAGTACCTGCCCCAAGCCCAGCTCAGGAGCAGGCTGTCCCAGAACAAGACCAAGAGTGACCAGCGCACCAAGCTCACACTGTCCCTTGATGTCCCCACCAACATCATGAATGTCCTCTTCAACATTGCCAAGGCCAAGAACCTGCGAGCCAAGGCAGCTGCCAATGCTCATCTGATGGCACAGATTGGACGGAAGAAGTAGCATTGAGGTCAGCAGGAGGGTGACCCATTAAGGACAAGGCTGGAGGTCAAGTGGAGGGTGAGGGTTTGCCCACCCAACCAGTTTGTATTTTGTTTCACAGGCTGCCTCGCTGCTTAAACCCTCTGATCCTTTCCTGCCTCCAGTCCAGCTTTCTCCTCTGTACAACACACCGACATGCAGTATTGTCCCACCTTCACAGAGGCAAGGCCATTAAGGCTTCTCCCTATGATCTGTGTATCTTTTCTCCTTCCCCACACTTCTCCTTGAGAATCCCTTGCCTGAGAAGAGGACACCTAGTGCTCTCTCCTCTCCGCATACCAGCCCCAGCCAAGGCTGGCAGATGAGGAGACACATTGCTTACCATCCCACTACCGGACCCTTTCCCTACCCCTTTGCTTCTATTAAAACCAGTGGCTTCTTGAACCTCTGGCTTGTGTCATTTCCTTTTCTATCAGCCAGCTGCCTCTAAACCTCTGTCAGACGGGGAAGGCAAATGAGGGAGGGTACAAATGAGTCAATTCTCCATCTCTCCCGGGATTGGCATGGTTCTTGGAGGTCACAGGAAGAGTAAAGAAGAGCTTGGGAAAAATCAAACTGGCAGAACTCTGTCAGCTGTCATTCCATCTGGAGCCAACTCCATGGCCTGGTCCCACCCAAAGGGCACAGCCTGGGATCTGCTGCCTGGATGGTACCTGGGTTAGACATCAGAGGAGGCTTTCAGTTATCCCCCTTGGGACACCTCATGTCCTCCATGGCCTGCAGGGCGTAGGGCCACGAGGCCTTTCATAGGTGCTCACTGAACCCTCAGTAACTGCCCAGCACTGTACTGGGCACCTGGGAGATGCTGCTGTGAGGCAAGGCTTCTGTTCTCCACAAGTCAACATCTAAGCAAATAGACAAAAACAAAATGAAAAGAGCAAATACCACCAAGAAACATACAGTGACGAACTGCAAAGTGATTTCAGTTAGTGTAAAAAACATATGAGGAATTCAGAGATGAGGGGGTTTAATATGAGTAAAAGTCCACTAGCACCCTGGTCAATGCGGTTCAGTGGCTGGAGTGTCGACCTGCACTGGTCACTGGTTCGATTCCTGGTCAAGGGCACATGCCTGGGGTGCAGGTTTGAACCCTGGTCCTGGTTGGGGCACATGTGGAAGGCAAACTATCGATGTGTCTCTTTCATAGAGATGTTTCTCTCTCCTCTCTCTGTCTGTCTGTGTCTCTCTCCCTTCCACTCTCTCTAAAAATCAATAGAAAAAAAGATTCTTGTGTGAGGATTAAAAAAGAAAAAAGTCCACTAGCAACAGACATCAGCAAGAACTCTGATGCCCTCTGGCAGCAAAGCCCAAGGGCCAGTTTCCCAAAGAGGGATTGTGGTTACAGTCACTCCTGCATGGTGATAAGTCATAAATATATAAAATGAGTTTCTACATGGTGAAATAACCTACACACACACACACCAGCAGCTAACACTACCACCACCACCAGTAGCAAAGTCAAAACACAAATGGATGACAAATCTGGAAAAATATTTGCCTCTCATATAAAAGACAAATGGCTTATTGATCAAATATATAAAGAGCTATTAAAAATTGAGAAGAAAAGAAAAACCCAAAAGAAAAATAAGCAAGGATCTGAATAGGGTACTTGAGAAAATTTGTCAGACAATTAAAGTCCTTAAAAGAAAAGAAAATATATCAAATTTATAAAGGCAATATAAAATATTTAAGGACGTTTATATAAGATTGCAAAGGGGACCAAAAAGCCAGAATCACTTGAAAGTGATGCTTTAAGTTTGCTAGACTTAGAAATAATAAGATTCACAAGTTGAACTTAAAAGCTTACAAAATAATTTGTTGTTGTATCTTAATTTTAGTAGATTATTAATTTTTAAAACATTAGAAAAACCAGTAGTGATCTTTTCTGTGTGTGGGAATGAGCACACATGCACACACACACACACACACACACAACACAATGCCCTCCAGAACACCAACACTCATAAACAACTGAAGTTATTTAAGCCTTTCACAGTGCCCTCCAGTGTCTGAAGAGAGAAACAACACATACACATTAAAAAAAAAAAAAATGTTGTTTAAGTGCTTAGTAAGAGCCTAAAAAAGTTTAAAGCAGGATATGCACATGGAAAAATATTTCATCCCTGAGTATTTACTACAATACAGTGTGGGGCATACTTTTGTAGGTTTACAGTTGTTCATATAGACAATAATACAATAATTAATAAATACTAATAATATAAGAAGAAACTGTGTTTCATGTACCCACAACCATAAAATTACTTTTGCCCCACACCCTACTATGAGACTTCATAGTGTGTCCCAACCATCCCTGAATCCTGGGCTGGAAGTAAATGGATAATGCAGATTGCTCTGGTAGCTCAAGGAGGCACAAGGAAGAAGAATCCCAAACAGCTACACGGAACAGGTGACATCTGAACTGAGTTTGTAGCAGGAATTATGTCCCATGGTCACAGAGGAAATAAGAGAGACAGCAATGAGAAGGAGCAAAGGTATAGGAGAGAGAGAAGAGAATCTGTGCTAAGTAGTGAGAGCCTAGTTTGAATGGAATGCATGACAGCAAATTAAAGGATGGAATCAGAAATTTAAGCCGAAACTAGTGGTGACTGGCTCTGCGTGTCACGTGCAGGAGTTAGCACTTTTTTTTGTTTTTAATCCTCACCCGAGAACATTTTTGCATTTATCATCAGATAGAGCGGGAGGGAGAGAGGGAGGAAGAGAAAGAGAGAGAAACATCGATGTGAGAGAAATACATCAAGTGGCTGCCACCCACATGACCTCAACCGGGGCTGGAGACAAGCTGCAACCAAGGTATGTGCCCCTACTGGGAACCAAACCTGGGACTCTGGTTTGTGGGCCGACACTCTAACCACTGAGCAACCTGCCAGGGCAGGAGTTTGCACTTTATGCCTAAGACAATGGGGAATCATTAAAGCTTTGTATAGGGAGCAGAATGATCCAAGCTGTGCTTCAGAACAGTTACAGAGTAGAGAATAGGATCTATCAGGAAGATAAAGTGAGAGGCAGGAAAGCATGTAGATACGAGTGTGCTAGGGACTGGGAGAGAATTTGATGACCTGAGCTAGGATGGCATCACAACGAAGAAAAGGGAGGGATTCCCTTTACAAAACATTACAAAAGGAGAATTGACAGGACTTAGTTCTACATAGAGAGCAAGAGAAAGCCATCCAAAATGGCTGCTTAGGCTCTCCTTAAGTGGGGAGATGATGACAGAGACAGACAGAACTCCAAAGCAAGAGCAGGTTTCTTTGGAGGAAAATTTTGTTTCTCTTGGAAGAAGTGAAATGTAAATGTAGGTAAAACACCTGGTAGGATAGGTCCAGCATATTAGGTGGAAAGTTCAGTATAAAACTCAAGTGAGAAGGGAAACCGTTTCACAGTTCCCACATAGAGCTGAAGTGGTTGTGAATATGATAAAGACCAGAAAAAAGGACCAAGGGTGTCTCCATCAGGGGCAGACAATGAACAAAAGGAGTCTATGGAGATGTCAGGTGAGGATGAGAACCACAGGAGGCAAGGGAAAAGTTTCAAGAAAAAAAATTACCAAATGCTTAAAGTCAAGAAATCTGAAGACTGAGAAAGTCATTGTTTTGATAAATCAGGTATGATCAATGATCTTTAAGACAATCATTTCAGTAGAACGATAGGAGGTCACCAAATCACAAAGGCCAAGGAGTGAGCAGATGTGGTGTAGGCATCAAATTTACATTCCCTTGAAAAGGTTGATGGGGTGGAAAGATGTGACAGTATGTTATAAGAGTAATAGAATCCAGAAAAGGGTGTTAATTTTTTTAAAAATATTTTCTCTTTATTGATTTTAGAAAGAAAGGAAGGGAAAGGGAGAGAGATAGAAATATCAATAACAAAGAACATCAATTGGCCGCCTCCTGCATGCCCTCCACAGGGGATCAGACCCACAACCTGGGCATGTGCCCTGACTGGGAATTGAACCTCTTAGTGCATGGGTTGATGCTCAACCAATGAGCCACACCGACTAGGCAGGTGTTGATTTTTTAATGAAGAGACCTCAACATATAAGTAGAGAGAAGAAAAAATGTCAGTGAAGAAAGGGAGACAGGACTTAGAAGTGGGGGGGGGGGGGTTTGAAGGAACAAGGTCTTCTAGAAGAGTCAAGGGGAGAAGGTGCACAAATCATAAATGGCCTTGACAAGAAGAGGTCTTTCCTCTGGAATAGTAGAGGATATGTGAAGATCCAATATAATTTTAAGGGGAGATCAAAGAGGAACATAAAAAGTTAAAGTCAGCTGGATGGATGTGATTTAAATAAAATAGGTAATAAGGTGACCTCTCGCTGTTTTTCAATCTAATAAATATTGAGTACCAACTCTATGCCTGACATCATAGAGACACAGATGAATAAGACAGTCCTTGTTTCAAGATCATATTTAATTAGCATTTATACTCCTCAGAGTTATTTCAATCATTAGCTCAGTTGATCTCACTCTTTGAAGAGAAAGGGCAAATATTCCTTCTCAACCTCATATCCACATTAAAAAAAGAGGAAAGGGAGTTATTTTGTCTGAAAGAAAATGGTGCCAGGTAGAAGTATGGTGATGCAAGAAAGAATGAAGAACCCTGGCCAGGTGACTCAGTTGGCTGGGGCTTTGCAGGTTCAGTTCCAGGTCAGGGCACATACCTAGGCTACGGGTTTGATCACCAGTGAGGGTGAGTACGGGAGGCAACTGATCAATGTTTCTCTCTCACATCGCTGTTTCTTTCTCTCTCTCCCTCTCCTTTCCCCTCTTCCTTTAAAATCAATAAAAACATCTTTAAAACTAAATAAATAAATAAAATACAAGATAGACACCCACAAAGGGCAGGATAGTAAATGAAGTTGAAGTGCCCTATGGTTTTTTTCATTGCCCAGCAAAATTAAAAACTCTAATACATGCCAATATGTCAAGTTGGAATGTTGTAAT